CAAAATTGCTAAAATTGACTTCAAACCATTTAAGTTTCCTTTTAAACCTGGCTTTATTTTTACAGATGTCACATCAAATGTAGCAAATTTCTTTGTGAAAACTGTCTGTATTTTTATTATAAAAAGTCTAGTAAATCCATGTGATGTATAATATTCCAGCGTCATTTGTGACAATCAGTTACTGTAAACGGCGATAAAAAGGTGCCAAGAGATTGTGGAAAAATCCTCTTGCAAAATATTTTCCTGTATCGTCGATTGAGGGACACAGAGTCCAATATAGACAGTTATATACCTTCAGGTGGAATGAGCATTAGGCAAACAAAAGTATAGGCCAGAATGTGGTAAAAGATGTTTTAGTGAGCCCTACCTTAAAAAGTGAAAACGTGTATAAATATATATACACAACAAAGTTAATAAGCAGCTGATACACCGAAAAGGTAACCAAAAGAAAACCTCCAATAATACATGTATATCCAGATAGAATGGTGCAGCGCTAAATAATAGTACACAATTAATACACACAATATGCTAGTGCAAACTAATATGCATGCGTGATGTCACTCTAGCCCTTATCCCTATGAATACGCGCATCGCACGAAACACGTCAGGGGGGGTAGCAGCAACAGGACACCTAACCACCGCTGGTGGATACCCTGGAATATATGGTCAGTAACTTCTTTTAAAATCCTTTTATGTACCCCACACCAACCAACCCTGAATAAAGGTACCTTAAGCAGTATCACGCTATGTGGTCTCTTATTGGGCACTCTGTGTGAGTGCTATCATTCGCAGTGCCCATCTGGAGGAACCATGACCCTGGTGGTGATACCTGGTAGCAGTTTCTGGTGACCTTGCCTCTGTGGAACCGGGATGGTGATCTGTGGGTAACCCGATCCGAGATTTGATGACCGATCTATGGCCTGGTGACGCAGGATTATATATTTGCGTATTTTAAACACACATTTGGTGAGTGCGTTTTTTCACCTATTTGTGTGGTTTGCACCTATTATCACACCTTGGATCAGGACGTCCACTCACCTGGAATTAGGATCTCTCCATGATCCGCACTATTATATTGAACTTTTTAATATTTATTGATCACCATCAGAGTGACATCACGCATTTTAGTTTGCACTAGCATATTGTGTGTATTAATCGTGTACTATTATTTAGCGCTGCACCATTCTATCTGGATATACAAAAGTATAGGCCAGCCCCTAGGGCCCTTGCCACACCAGCCATGCTTCAGTTTAGTTTGGTGTCCTTAGGTCACTCTGTTGCCTGCATGTTGTGTGGGCCATTCAGATTTATCAGAATGCAACACTCTTAAAGTGGAGCTAAACTCTAGAATATACCCACCTCAACTTCCAGCGATGCAACAGTTCCATCCCTTGCTGGCCGCTGTCAACTCCCTGTATGCTGGCTTTTTGGTGTCTTGATTGCCCAGTGGGGGATGATGTTATCCTGCCCATGCGCACAAGAGTCATTTATTCTGCATATCCAGAAATACCACACAGGCAGGTAAGTGTGTATTATTGCATAAGAGACCTAGCTGGTCTCCTTAGCAATAAAGAGCTGCCTGTTAGCAGTTTTATTCAAGTTAGGTTTAGTTCCGCTATAAGGAAAATCAATTCCCTGTTTATATCTGGAGGTTTTTGGAGGGGTTCTCTGGCTTCCATTCTGTTTTTCTCAGTTGGTTCCCCAAACTGTTATATCTTTGTGTCCCTGAGGAAGCTCCTCCTGCATTAAAAAGCATGCTTAGCAGAAAAGACCATACATTTTTATGGCACAATCATTTGTAGAGCAACCATATGGTTGCTACATCATTCAACCACCATCTCATGTCTGCGTCTGCTCTTATTTATACTATATATGCTCTTATATCCATGGATACATGTGGGTTGTAAATCGTACTAATGAGTGAAGATCTACTGAATACGTTTCTCTGTTAATGTGATTATTTTTCAAACCTTTAATGAATTTAAATCCTCCTTTGTATCCTGGCACACTAAAAGCTTTCTCCTTGAATTAGATTATGCATCTTCCTCTTGTCTGAGAGATAAAACAAAGAAAATTGCTGAGAAATCTAATTTACAGTTTGGATTAAACAGATTGATGAGGAACAGGACATTTTTAAGTCTTAAATTTGCTGTTTACTTTGTTCTTATGTTCGACTTTTATGAGACAGTTGCTTCTGATCTTTCAGCGTTTGCACCTGTTATTAGTTTACAGTTTATTATGCTTTTGCAGAAAGAAATAGCTGGTAAAAATGAAAGGAAAAGATCACTGTTCGTTCTTTCCTAATGGGGAAGGCTAAAGATGTTTTTGCTTCACTGTAGGGTAGTGGCCTCCATCTGCGGCCCACGCCAAGGATGCGACCCTTTGCTTGTCTTTATCTGAGCCTTGGGGCACTGTTTCTACCACTAATGAGGTACTATTACTACTACTGATACCAGGCACTATTCCTCCCAATGGCACCAACAGTGGGGAACTATTCCTCCCACTGACATGAATAATGGGGCATTTTTTCCTCCACTGACACCAACAATGGTGCAAAATACCTCCCACTGATCTAAATGATTTGGCACTATTCCTCCCGCTGACAGCAACGGGAAGGGACTATTTGTCCAAATAATACTAGCAATGGGGCACTAGTCCTCCAACTTATCCAACGATGGAGCACTATTCCTCTAACTAATATTAACAATGGGGCACTATTCCTCCAACTGTGACGAATGATGGGGCACCATTCCTCTAACTTATCCAACGTTGAAGCACCATACCTCCAACTATGACCAACAATGGAGCACTATTTTTCCATCTATGAACAATAATGGAGCACTATTCCTCCAAGTAATACCTAAAAATGGGGCACTCTTTCTCCATGTATGAACAACAATGGAGCACTATTCCTCCAACTTATCCAACGATGGAGCACTATTTCTCCAACTAATGCCTAAAATGGGGCACTAATCCTCCAACTATGACCAATGATGGGGCACTATTCTTCCAATTTATCCAACGTTGGAGCACCATTCCTCCAACTATGACCAACAATGGGACACTATTCCTCCAACTATGACCAATGATGAGGCACTGTTTTCCCATCTATGAACAACGATGGGTCACTATTTCTCCAACTTAACCAGTGATGAAACACTATTCCTCTTCTTGCTGATTACAGCCACTATATATATATATATATATATATATATATATATATATATATATATATATATATATTTTTTTTACTCCACCAAGCTTGAAACATTGTCTACTCCCACCAATATTGGGGCATTTTCTACTCTCACTGGCTATAGTCTGGCCCTCCTAAAGTCTGGGGGTCAGTAAACTGGTGTTTTGTTTAGAAAGTTTGGAGATCCCTGCGGTAGGGAAATAAAAGGGGCTGGAAAGTAAGCACCAAGAAGGTAGGAGAAACCGAGGTCACCATCTGCTTTGTGAATTAGGCTGGCCATAGATGGGTATTTTTTTTTTTTTTTCATTCAGCTAGTGCGATGAACAAAAAAAAAAGACCGATTCCTCCATGCATACAGTTTAAATGTATGGAGAAATTCCCTCCCCTTCATTGGGACGGCTCTTGTTTTTGTCAGAATTCACTGGTCAGTTGCTGTAGGTGATTGGCTCCAGTTTCTGACCGGCTCCAGTTTCTGATCGAGAAATGTTTTCCAACATTCTCCTTCCACAGAAGTCGGTCAAACGATCAACTTCTGTCGAGCAGAGATGGCTGCACACTAATTGAAATTTGCCCTGTCCCTGTTGAGCCGGCTGAATTTTGATTTGTTTATGGCCAGCTTTAGAGATTGCAACAGAAGACCTCCAGCATCAACTTTGCAATGACTGAACCATTTATAGATAATCATGTAAAATTCTGTACAGATCTAAATTTAATGTCCAGTGTCAAGGAAAAGGGAAGTTTAAATGTAAAAAGATTCTAGATTAAAAATATACAAAAATAACTGCTTTGTCCAGTATTTATCCCTTGTATTACAATGACCTTAACCTGATTTTTATGTCTTGATCTACCCAAAATAGCCATAATGTTTAAAGTGTATATATACACGAATTGTTTTCAGTTTTGTATAGAATGGGGAAAGATTGGAACCTCTTTCAGGTTTTAATGCTATCTGAGGCTCTGTTAGAGAGATTCCTCCTTACTTTCTGTTTTGGGGACAACCTTTTACAGGAAGTGAAGGAAAATCTACAGTAGGGAATATACAATTAGCCCCGGGTTCACACCGGTGTGACTTGACAGATCAAAGTCGCGTGACAAGTTGGACCCTATTTGCCGCTATAGAACTGTTCAGATTGATGTGAATTAAGTCACAGCGACTTTGAAAAAGGTTCCTGCACTATTTTTTGCAACTTCATGTGCATTGTGCAACTTCATGTGCAAAAAGGTTCCTGCACTATTTTTGTGCAACTTCATGTGCATTGACATCTGTGTAAATGAAATTGCACAGATGTCGACGAGCCACACATGAAGTTGCACTGATCAGCGGCTTTGAAATCTCGCTGAAGTAGCGCCACTTCAAAGCCACACCGGTATGGACCGGGTGTAAAACGTGATAAGGGTTCTAGAACCACCCTATTAACCTTTAGAGCTGAACTCTGGGCACAAAAACTTTCATTCAAATATATTTCACAATATCTACTGAGGATATAAATCTAAGTTACTGTATGTGCACCAAATGCCTTTACAAACCCAATTATTACCTTGTAAAAGTAACAGTGACATCATCACTGTTTGGATCATAGTCTGTGCAGAATGCAGAGCAATGGGAGGGGCCCAGCAGACCACACCCACTACAGACTGCCTTCAGAAAATTACAGGGGGGCAGTCTTTACAAGAAGCTCCCTTGCAGGGTCTTTAAAGGGAAAAAAACATGGGAAATATGCATATATGGCAGGGATGTACTACATATGTTTTTGTTTTTTGTTTTTTTTACCTTGACGTATACTCCTTTGTGTCTATTGTACAGCAAAAGTCGGCATCGCGGCGGAAGTGTGCTGCATGTAAAATCGTAGTTCATACTCCCTGCATTGAGCAGCTAGAAAAGGTAAGCAACCAATTATTTACCTGACAGTCACCCCTTGAATGAAAATATCTGAATGTAAAACTGTTTGTGTTGCCCACAACAACTGCTCATTCATTTCTTTTATTTTGAAACCTGATTAACCCAGTAGAATGAGTGGTTGCTGTAAAGGACTGCAATCAATGCTGACAGTGGTCAAAGATCAGCCAACCCTTAAGCCAGCCATAGATGGGTCGAATCTGGGCCGGTTCGGTGGGGACTGGCTGAGATTCAATCCATCTATGGGTAGTCTGGTTATAATAAAGTCTATCCTTCAATCGAATTCAGTAGTACTACGAGCCTGTCAGAGTTTTTTTAAGGTGATTACTGCCGGTGGCTATAGTCGCTAGCAGTAGTCATTGTGTTTTGGCAGCTGGGAAGGCTCCCTACTGGCAAAACACAGCAGTTCGGGGGAAGTGATTCCCCCATCGACAATGACTTACCCATGATTGCAGGAGAGAAAATTTAATACTTTTATGGCCTGCCTTTGGTATCCGTTAAAAATCTTTTTGCACTTAGTCTGGCTACCGAAGTTGTAAACCAGGCTGTTTGCCATGGATTACAGCAGCATTTCCCAACCAGGGGATCTGTGGCACACTAGGGTTCCCCCAAAGGTTGTTAAATCACTGTCTTTTTATCTGTCTGTAATGAGGAAGGCTTCCCACCAATCTCATTGCAAAGGGAGGGGTGGTCCTTAACCCACAGATTTTTAATAAAAGGGGGTTCTTTTCCCACTGACCACTATTGTATGGGGGTCCTTCCACTGACCACTAGTATATGGGGGTCCTTCCACTGACCACTAATGTATGGGGATCCTTCTCCCACTGACCACCAATGTAAGGGGTTTCTTCTGCCACTGACCACCAATGTAAAGGGGTTCTTCTCCCACTGACCACAAATGTAAGGGGGTTCTTCTCCCACTGACCACTAATGTAAGGGGGTTCTTCTTCCACTGACCACCAATATAGGGGGTCCTTCTCCTACTGACCACTAATGTATGGGGTCCTTCTCCCACTGACCACTAATGTAAGGGGGTCCTTCTCCCAGTGACCATTAATATATGGGGTCCTTCTCCCACTTACCGCTAACATAAGGCAATACAAGGGTCCTTTTCCCACTAAACACTAAAGTAAGGAGGTCCTTCTCCCATTGACCTCCAAAGTAAGAGGGTCCTTCTCCTTCTGACCACTGATAAAACGGGGGCTTTCTTCCACTGATTCCTAATATAAGGGGGTCCTTCTCCCACTGACTCCTAATATAAGTTGGTCCTTCTCCCACTGACTCCTAATGTAAGGAGGTTCTTCTCCCACTGACCACCGTTGTAAAGGGGCCATTTTCCTTTTGACCACTAATAAGGGGGGCTCTTCTCCCACTGACCACTAATGTATGGGTGTCCTTCTCCCACTGACCATTATTGTAAGAGGGTCCTTCTTCCACTGACCACTAATATAAGGGGGACTTTTGCCCACTGACCACCAATGTAAGGGGTTTTTCTCCCGCTGACCACTAATGCAAGGAAGTCTTCTCCCATTGACCACTAATGTCAGGGTGTCCTTCTCCTTCTGACCACTAATAAAAGGGAGGCTCTTCTCCCACTAATTGCTAAAATAAGGCAATACGAGGGTCCTTTTCCCATTGACCACTAAAGTATGGGTGTTTTTCTCCCATTCACCACTAATGTAAGGTGGTCCTTCTTTCACTGACCACTAATATAAGAGGGTCTTTCTCCTACTGACTTCTTAATATAATGGGATCTTTTCACACTGATCACTTAATATAAGGGGGTCCTTCTTCCCTGACAAATTGAGTTTGTCTCCCACTGACCACTAATATAAGGGTGTCCTTTTCCCGCTAGCTACCCATGTAAGGGGGTCCTTTACCCACTAACCACCAGTGTAAGCCCTACTACAATTCCACTAGTAGGGTTTTTTTCTGAACAGACTTCTGTAGCCGATCGTCTGAGATTCAAACCATGTGATTGGTTAGTTTGGCCAAAAACGCATTTGACTAGAAAGACATACTACACATCCTGTTTGTTTAAAGCTGACTTTGCTCTGCCTGAGCATTGATCATTGTAAATATGTTTTTTTATAGATAAATTTCCGATGCAAGCCATCATTTCGGGAGTCCGGGTCCCGCAACATACGGGAGGTATGAGCTGTGTTTTCTGAAATCAGAACAATATTTAATGGTAGGACATCAGTGTTGTGAACCATTCACTTTCCATTACTTCTTCTTGGTACACTCTTCCTGTGGTTAAGCAAATTCCAAGAATGAAGTAGTCAATATGCCAAAAAGTGTTAAAGCTGAAGGCCAGGTTTTCAAGGTCCGTTCTAAGGAAGTACAGAGTCCGCCATTGCTTCCCTTTTTTCTAATTATGCTAGTTCCCTGACTGCCATGGTGATCCAGGGGCTTCAGTACTTTCTAAGTCACAGACCTATTCTAGGCCATTTGTTTTAAAAGTATTAAGACCACAGACAGCCAAGCGATTAGCATTTTTCAAATGAGATCAAAGGGTAACCCCAATAGTTCCCCTAGTATAGGTTTTCTTTTTAAAACTGAACTTCAGTCTTTCCTTTAGTCTTGGAGAGTTCTACAGGTTCCTGTTCTGTACTGAAATTGTTTACTCTGAATTTACCGCACACTGTGAGCTTCTTACCGTGTGCATTAAAATATGCAGCAATTCAGATAGTGCCCTCATTTCCTGGATGAAGAGCATCCAGCATCATCTACTTCTTTCCAATTTACGCAGCGCTTTGCATATGTATTGTACATTCACATCAGTCCCTACCCTCAAGAAGCATACAATCTAAGGTCCCTAACTTAGAGTCATACATACACATACTAGGGACAATATAGACAGGAGCCAATTAACTTACCAGCATGTTTTTGGAGTGTGGGAGGAAACCAGAGTTCTCGGAGGAAACGCACGCAGGCACACAGAGTACATGCAACCTCCAGGCAGGAGGTGCCCTGGCTGGGATTCGAACCAACGACCCTAGTACTACCAGGCGGAAGTGTGTTATGACCAATCTGTGTGAAATAAACATACATTCAACCCAAAAAAAACAAAAAACAAAACAGAATGCACAAAGTGACCTGTGTTAGGGCTTGATGAAGACCAGCATCTCCTGGCACTGTAGACAACCAGCTGTCCAAGGTGTCATCAGGGCAGGTTAGTCTTTAACAAGCCTTTAAGTGGTTGTACACCTCAGAAATGAAATGTGAATAAAGCATAACCCTTTATATAAAAATTATTCCTGCGCCAAAAAACTACAAAATCTAAACTGCTGCTGTGCAAAATGTGAAAAAACACAAACAATAAGAAACATAAATAAACAGTGCAAAAATAGATCTCTAAATCCAATCAAAAAAATTATTATATAAAGTGCAAAATAAATGTATCATAAACCATGAATTAATAGTGAATATCCCCAGTAGTATTAATATTAAACACCAAAAGTCCGTGCATAATAAAAATCAGAGGTTCCAAAAATTCTTCAAATACAAGGAAAACTTCCACATTCCACCTGTGCAAACCAACATCAAATGCACTCACTAGAACTTAGTGAGTGAGAAGCCTTTAGGGATTTTAAAGGGATCCTAAACCCTCTTTAGCATCCACTCTATAGAATTCTTCACCATCCGAATAGGCTCCACCGTTCAACCAGGAGAAAGCAAATCTCAAATAGTGTAATATTGCCAAATAATAATAAAATTTCAAAGCAGAGATTAAGGCCACTCACATGTCAGCAACTTTTAAAAGGCACATTTATTGAGTACAATAGCCTCCAGATGGAACACGAGCATTTTACAGCCTCCTCTTTCAGGAATCTCACATCAGCCACAGGATAAAGCAGAGAATCCACAAAACAGACCAACACAGCTCCCAAAGATGGCCGCTGGAACGCACCGCTCAGCGTGCTCTCCACTCACCGGAAGTGACATCAGACGTACGGAGAATGGACCGGAAATGCGTCGACGCGTTTCGCCCCTCCCATCGGGCGTTCTCAAGGTCTTGGGGCAAAATGGGAGGGGCGAAACGCGTGACGCGTTTGGAAGGTGGAAGTTTTCCTTGTATTTGAAGAATTTTTGGAACCTCTGATTTTTATTATGCACGGACTTTTGGCGTTTAATATTAATACTACTGGGGATATTCACTATTAATTCATGGTTAATGATATATTTATTTTGCACTTTATATAATAATTTTTTTGATTGGATTTAGAGATCTATTTTTGCGCTGTTTATTTATGTTTCATAACCTTTCATAACCCTTTATAGTATGTGCTTTTCTCAATCCAGATCTCTAGGTATCATCTCTGTACTCTGCATTGTTCTTCTGCTATCAGTATGAATCGCTTCTGACAAGTTTTTCCTGACACTAAGAGAAAAATGGTGACAGGGGAGGGACCTCCAGCAGATTGAAAGCCTCAGCTCTGTTCCTGTGTGAAGGGGGGGGGGGGGTCTCTCTACCCTCCAATCACCTCTCAGAGCTCTCCTCACTCATGGATTCAGCTCCCCACCCCCTGCTTTTCATAGCTGAGAGATCCTGTGTAAATTCTGCATTTTGAATGGATGTAGGGGAATGACAGCTGTAGATAGACAGTTACAGCTAACATAGGAGGATTTGTTTCATCTCTGTGTATCACCTGGGGCCCAGCACTTCATTGCATACCTGTAAGGGTTTACATCCGCTTTAACACAGGTCACTTGGTGCATTCTGTTGTGATTTTATAAACATTGACTGTTCAAGCCATGAAGAAGGAGGAAGCTATTTCTCCCAAAATGCATTGGCTGTATCTGATGCTGTTAACCATTAGATTGGCACCAAAACAGGAATAGAGGTGAAACCTACCAATGGGGACACCAAGAGGGGACTTCCTAAGTTTGGAGAGATTTCCACCTACTTCCAGTTGTGTCTATGGGACAGGAAGCGCAAGGAAATATTTCCAGTGGGACACAGATGGCAAAAATGAGAGAGATGAGAGTTGGTCTGACTCTTCCCTACCCTATCCAAAATGATAGAAACAAGTTTTGGCTTTGGATGCACACTAAGGTATTATTACAGTTCTAACACAGAAATGTGCTCTATGGTTTCTCTGTAATGGTCTCTTGCAGTTACAATTTCTTTCTTGTTCATTGAGGGACACAGGATAGTAGTAACTCTTGTATATATGGGTTATACTACAGGGGGTGGCATTATAACCTACATGTCTATGGGCAGCACAGTGGCTAAATGGTTAGCACTTCTGCCTGGCAGTACTAGGGTTGTTGGTTTGAATCCCAACCACGGCACCTGGAGTTTCCATGTTCTCCCTGTGCCTGCGTGAGTATTTTCCAGGTACTCTAGTTTCCTCCCACACTCCAAAGACATGCTGGTAGGTTAATTGGCTCCTGTCTAAATTGTCCCTAGTATGTGTATGTATGAATGTAAGTTAGGGACCTTAGATTGTACACCCCTTGAGGGTTAGGGACTGATGTGAATGTACAATATATATGTAAAGTGCTGCGTAAATTGACGGCGCTATATAAGTACCTGAAATAAAAGAAAAGAAAATAATTACCACTGTCCTGTGATTCTAAATGGATGTTAAGAAAATAATTTTATGATAAGTACAAAAATCTGATTTTTCTCTCTCTGTATGTTTTCTTGGATTGCTGGTTTCATAGTGCAATTAGCACAACTGCTCGCCTCTTTACTGAACTCACTCAAGTACTTTCTCTCTTTCTTTAGCCTGTAATTGTTCGGCATCACTGGGTTCATCGGAGACGGCAGGCAGGGAAGTGTCGGCAGTGTGGGAAGGTAAGAGACCTTATTAGTGTGCACTGAGGGGTAGAAGTGTACTTCGTCTAGACTTAAAAGGTTGGTAGATTTGTATTACAACTTGACCAATATTAATAGAAAATGGGGGGGGGGAGTTAAAATGCTTTACTATGTGTCTCTCACTGTGTTTTTTTCATTATCTATGTAGAAAAAACATACTATTGACTGGTTCATAAAGGGACAACCTCACATTCATTTTAATTTGCACATGTAGTATTTCTTGCAATATTTGTCAAAATGTGCTATTTTAACACTACTTAGCTAAAAAAAATCAAATCAAATAAATAATATAAATATATATATATATATATATATATATATATATATATATATATAGAAAATAAACACACAGCGCCAAAAATATAATAAAATCAAATATATAAAGTCCATACTCTTAAATGTTTCGTGCTTGAGTGATCCAATAAATAAACACGTGCAGAAGAAAAAGTCCAAAAATAATAAATATCCCGTGCCTTGAGACAAAAATAATTTCACCACATAGTGCTCATTGGACCCTCCCCTATGCTTTCCATACTCACCAGATATGATGGACTCCAAGCTTTGTGGGCTTAAGGCTACGTTCACACTAGCGTTGTGTGCAGGCGGCAGAGAGGCGTTTGGGAAGCGTTTTTACCGCTTCCCAAACGCCTCTGCCAATTCTGCACATTACAGCACATGGTGCTGTTCTAACGGGAGCGTTTGCGTCATGTCGCGTTGCTTCGTGGCAAAACGGACGCCTCTGGTCAAGTCAGGAGGCTTTGAAGCCTCCTATTCTCGTCTATGGTGCCGCTCCGCAAACGCCCGGGCGGGGCGTTTGCGGAGCGGTAACGCCACTCAAACTGCATTATAGGCGTTTGTGGGGCGTTATTAACGCTTGGCAAACGCCTAGCAACCGCCACTAAACCGCGCATGCGGTGTTTGCCGAGCGTTAAAAAACTCTCCGCAAACGCCGGACCAACGCTTGCCAAAACGCTATAGGGGCGTTTGGCAAGCGTTGGTAAAAACAGCCAAGTGTGAACGAGCCCTAAGAGTCAAAAACGCTCATTTCTGGTGGAATGTGCTTGCAGAGATATCCAGGGTTCAATAGAGTGCCAGACCCATGGTTATGAAGTGTAGGTGCAATCCATCAATCTATTCCATAATTCTTCATGCGTGTAATAGAGGGAAGCAGAAAGGACACTGATAGTGTAATACTGTTGAGTTATTTAATTAGCTTAAAACAGCAATACATATTACATTCACATTTGATCAATAATACACAAGCCTTATGAATATATTCCTTGCATAGCCTCAAAGTTATACAGCGGTAATAAGATGGCTCCGGAGCGCCGTTGCATCGTGTGCGATCCACTCACTGGACATGACGTCACACACAACCACTGGAACCTGAAATTGTGTCAACGCGTTTCGCCCCTCCTACAGGGTGTTCTCACAGACCTTATATATTATGTGTTAGTGACATTGCACTTTCAGAACAGCAGCATTGTTTAGCAGATTTAGAAAATTCATATCTATATATTTTTTTTCTAAATATTGTTTCTACACATAGAAGCGCGGGCGATTTGTTGTTTCAAAGATTACCATACAGGCTAACACACTTAAAACAGGGTTTCTCAATTAGGGTTCTGTTGAACCCTAGGGTTGCTCTGGAGGTTACTAGGGGTTCCTTGAGCAATTTAAAATTTCTGCCTCCCAGATAAGTTCCCAGTGACACCATTGATCTTTTTAGCTATCTATAAGGGGGTAATTCTTCCCAAAGACCATAGGTGTAAGGAATGTTCTTCCCACTGACCATCACACTAATGTACCATGAGTAGTACATATAGTCACTTTTAGTAGGGGTTACCTGAGACCGGAAAGTTATTTCAAAGGTTCCTCTGTGTTGAGAAAAGTTCTCTTAAAGTGACCCTATCAATATCATTCAGTTAGGGTTTAACATCTACTTAAAGGGTGACTTCAGTCAGCAGCTCAAGTGGTTCTGGCTCCCCTAAGGCGCTTCCATTATGCTGCATGTGCAGATGTGTCAGACAGGCTATGCCAGGCCAATGGATCTTGGCAGAACACGTTGGCATATCTGTGCATGTGATTTTCTGTGCGTGCGCAAAGACAGGGAAGGTTTGGGACTTACCTGATATCTGTCTTGGAACCCAAAACCCTGCGGCACATCAGCCCACATGCAGGGGGTGGGGAGAAAAAAAAACGTAATTCTCACCTAGGCAAAAAATGGCTTTGCAGCACAAATAAATAACTTGGTTAAGATATAATAAATATCCATTTGTAAGAGAGGAAGGGGAGGGAGGCAGGACAGCATGATGTGACCTTTGGGGTGAAGGTCCGCTTTAAATCTTTACTTTTAATTTTGCATAGTGGGGATTAGATTTGGACCTTCTGTCGAGGTTCTATTGCTGACCGTGTTCCCCCCTATTTGTCATCAGAGTGACAACTGTTTAAGACAGGCTTTCCCCTCACTAGGTGAGAATCCCTTTTATTCCCTTTTATTTCCTTTTACGTTTCCAAGACAGAAAGTGAAGGGAATTTTCCTCAGAGGGGCGTAGAAAAAAAAATAACCTCATAGTGGTTTTAAAGTGATTGTAAACTTAATTTTTGTTTTCGGTAACAAACCTGTCATACTTACCTGCTCTGTACAATGATCTAGCAGTGTTAATGAGCTTGTTTGCTGCACTTGTTAACATTGGCTTAAAGTGATTGTAAAGGTATATAAAAAGAAAATTATAATAAACTTGTCATACTTACCTGCTCTATACAATGGTTCTGCACAGAGCAGGCCCGATCCTCCTTTTCTGGGGTACCCCAATGGTACTCCTGGCTCTTCCTTCCTGCCAAGTGCCCCCACAGGAATCTGCTTGCTATGGGGGCAATTGCGAGGGTCCGATCCCAAGTCGCGCTCTGTGTCTCCATAGACAACAAAAGGTTTTTACCATGCATACACTTTAAGCATCTGTAAGAAGTGGTTGATTTTTTTAATAGTTCAAATAATATGCAATCATGGTTCGTGAAATGTTGTTATTCTTTTCAGGGATTTCAACAGAAGTTTGCCTTTCACAGCAAAGAGATTGTTGCAATCAGCTGCTCGTGGTGCAAATTGGCGGTAAGTCTCAGTGTCACGGCTGTCTGACTGCTGTCACCTCCTCTGTGATCTGGCCTGAGAGTGGAAAGAAATACTACACAGGACTGCAGAGTCTCCTGTCTGATAAAATCCATTGAAAGGAAACTAGTGTTAAGCTGGCCATACACCATTGGATGTTTTTCATTCAGCCTGCAAGCCGAACACAAAAAAAATGAATGATTCCTGTAGTGTGGATGGACAGATCTTCCACTGTGCCTTTTGTATTCAATATAGTCAAAATTCCCAAACAGCAGCTGCATCTGATTGTATACAGCTGTTATTCAGCCAACAATTTTCCATCCAGATCCTTTTATTTTTTTCAAAAAGGATGTCAAGCAGGAAGGGGCCGACAGGGTCACCCACCTAGCAAATTTTGGTTGGTTCATCAGAAAACAGCCAAAATTCACATAGTGTATGTCCAGCTTTAAGGGAAATACAGTATTTAGGCTGATGTTGCATACATTGTTCTACAAATGCTGGTTGCCTGAATGTCATGCTGATCCTTTATCTTTAAAAGTCATCGACCTTCAACAATTATCCATAGTTCCAAATTCACTGGTTACATTCCTGTTTCAGGGCAAGGACTAAGAAAATGTTGAAGTGAATGACAACTATCATGCATTCAGAGGCCATTAGTGGTGACCTGTCTATTTCCATCCATATATCTAAACATTTTAAAATGGCACACCTCTGCAATAGAAGAAGGTATATACTTGCCTCTCTGTGTCTTTTGTCACACCTCTAATGGTGCGACATTTTTAGTCTCTTTGGGATTCAACACTTCCAGGAATGTCAGTTGGCTTTTTTCTCTTGCCATGTGCAGTGGTTACTTCCTCTGATCCCTATGGCTGTACAGGACACAGCAGGTGTCAGGAGATGGAACCACAGTGCATGGCAGGGAAGACATTGATCTGACACTCCTGGAAGTGTCAAATTCCAAAGAGACTGACAGAGGCTGCAGTGCTGAAACAGACGAAAAGGAGGAGACATGGGCCTTTAGTATACTTGTTTTTATATGCTTGGGGACCTTACAAGGTCTTTTTAAGTGTGAACAAAAATAATGACCTCTGCGGGCAAAGCTGTGGTAGCGCTAGAGCTGCTTTCTAAGCCCCCCACCATTCCTATTGGCCCATCACAATTATTCACAATATTGATGCACAATAAGAATGTGCAGGAGGAGGGAACGATGGGCAAGCCTCAGCTTTGCCTGTAAGGATGTCCGTACCAGGAAGGTTTGGGAGGCTCTTTGCAAGTTTGTGTACCTCTAGATGCCAATGTCTTATAATTGCAGCAGTTTAGTTTTTGTTTCCCACCACAGAGTCTCTTTAAGCTGACCACACAACCTACGATCTACCAACTCCTTCTATACTGTAGCGCTTAGCTCTTTACCTGCTTCCAGACAGTTTATACAGTGTGTATATATATATATACAGTTGTGTTCAAAATAATAGCAGTCAGACATCACTAACCTGATCAATCACTGTTTTTGGTAGGAATGATATTTCTACATGGCAAATAATTTACTAGCAGGTGTAGTAGAGTAATAGAAATCCAACAGACCCAACAGTCATGACATGCATGCTGCTGATTCTGTGTAATTGAATCACTAATTGAAAGGGGCATGTTCAAAATAATAGCAGTGTGGAGTTCTATTAGTGAGGTCATTCATTCTTTGAAAAACGGGTGGCAATTATTGCCCTTATTTAAGGAAGGAAGGCAGCAAATGTTGTACATGCTGGTTACAGTGCATTTCTCTCTGAAATTCTGAGGAAAATGAGTCGTTCCAGACATTATTCAGAAGAACAGCGTACCTTGATTAAAAAGTTGATTGGAGAGAGGAAAACATATAAAGAAGTGCAGAAAATGATCGGCTGCTCAGCTAAAATGATCGCAAATGCTTTAAAATGGCAACCAAAACCTGAAAGACGTGGAAGAAAGCGAAAAACTACCATTCGAATGGATAGAAGAATAGCCAAAATGGCAAGGACTCAGCCAACAATCAGCTCCAGGAAGATGAAAGAAGGTGTAAAGTTACCTGTGAGTACTGTTACAATTAGAAGACGCCTATGTGAAGCCAAGCTATCTGCAAGAAGCCCCCGCAAAGTCCCACTGTTAAAAAAAATACGTGCTGAAGAGGTTACAATTTGCCAAAGAACACATTGACTGGCCTAAAGAGAAATGGCGCAACATTTTGTGGACTGATGAAAGTAAGATTGTTCTTTTTGGGTCTAGTGGCCGGAGACAGTTTGTCAGATGACCCCCAAACACTGAATTCAAGCCACAGTACACTGTGAAGACAGTGAAGCATGGTGGTGCAAGCATCATGATATGGGGATGTTTCTCATACTACGGTGTTGGGCCTATTTATCGCATACCAGGGATCATGGATCAGTTTGAATACATCAGAATACTTGAAGAGGTCATGCTGCCTTATGCTGAAGAGGAAATGCCCTTGAAATGGGTGTTCCAGCAAGACAACGACCCCAAACACACCAGTAAACGTGCAACATCTTGGTTCCAGACCAACAAGATTGACGTTATGGAGTGGCCAGCCCAATCCCCGGATCTTAATCCAATAGAAAACTTGTGGGGTGACATCAAAAATGCAGTTTCTGAGGCAAAACCAAGAAATAGAGAAGAACTGTGGAATGTAGTCCAATCATCCTGGGCTGGAATACCTGTTCACAGGGGCCAGAAGTTGGTTGACTCCATGCAACACAGATGTACAGCAGTTCTCAGAAACAGTGCGACTACAACCAAATATTCATTAAGTGATTCAAAGGAAAGCAAAATCTTCAAACATTTCTCAGTTTATATAGTGAATGTTTCAGTTTGTAAAGAAGAATACAAACACGGCTATTTTTTTGAACAGTCTAATATTCACTTTTCTTCAATTTTTTTTAGAGGAACAACACAAATTTGATATATTTTTCTTCATGTGTTGATTTGGAATAGAATGTGTCGTGTTCTCAATGCATTTGTGTGTATGGAAATAAAAGCTATTAGAAGGATTTTGAGCTTTATTCACTTTTTTCAACACACTGCTATTATTTTGAACATAACTGTGTGTATATATATATATATATATATATATATATATATATATATATATAATTTTTTTTTTATAAAGTTTCTATGACGCAGATATACTAATTTAATACAGGTCCTGTGGTCTTCCTGTATGCTGATTCTGGTGAAGGTCTTGTTTCTGCCTGCTTGCGGTGATTGCATCTGCACTGTAGTCAATGTAGGATCATATCAGTGAAATCTTTTCAAGCATATGCGCAATATCCATGTCATTAGAATGGGACCTGGGCACTCCCAGAGGTATTATTATTATACAGGATTTATATAGCGCCAATAGTTTGCTCAACGCTTTACAATATAACGGGAGACAATACAGCAACAATACAGTTCAATACAAGAGGGTTAGGAGGGCCCTGCTCCTTGGAGCTTACAATCTAGGTACCCCCTTACTTGACAGCGCTGAAGATTGGAGAACTGGGATACTGGACTGTGGATGTAGATAAGTATACCTGGGTCATAGAAATGTCACTTTCAAAATTATGGATTGGCTGGAAGCAAGTGGAGAGCTAAATGATAGTATTTTTTCTAGCCAGAGTACAGCTTTCTATGTAATTTATAATGCCAGATAGCAATGTACAGCAAAGAGCTTGCAGAAATCTGTATTTGTCAAGGATGTTCTGAAGTGACGGAATGTAAAACATTATTGGTTTGATGGATTTGTGCATCTTGTACTTCACTCAGCTGATGAAAGGGTTAAACCACCTGCTAGTCTTTAATGACTCTCAAGGACTCCAGTGATGAGATCAGCACTCGGGTTCCTGCTCTCCTTGACACATTTTTTATGTATTTTTTTATAAAGAGAGAAACTAAGAGGAGGTGAATATGAACACCCCTGTTGGTACAACACGTATGAGACTCCAGATAGGGAAAGAAAGCATCACAAAAGTTGGTGGGGAGATCTCCCTGCTGGTGTTCTTAAGAGATGTTAGAAATCAGCAGTGGACACAACCCACCAGATTCTGTCCATAACTAAAATGCCAGTTTTGTTTGGTCTTGCGATTTAAATCTGCATAATACAGTTTGGGTATGTGTTGAATTCTCTCTTTTTAGTACCACAACAAGGTCTCATGCTTCATGCTGCACCACATAGAAGAGCCGTGTTCCTTAGGCGCTCATGCTGCTGTCATGGTCCCACCCACCTGGATCGTCAGAGTGCGCCGACCGCAGGTCAGTGTTTCCTAGCTTTTTCCACTTCTCTCTGCTTCTTTGCCCCCTCTTTCTAATGTTCATTACTTGTTTCATTTAGAGTTCAATCAAGTCCAGCAAGAAGAAAAAGAGACCCTCATTCAAGAGAAAAACCTAGCAAGAAAGGTGCAGAGGTAAGCCTAAAAAGATCTGTGTGTGCTGCATAGACTGATTTAAAGATGAATTACAGGGAGATATAAAAAAACTAAAATTAATGCAGCTCTGTAATCAATAACACATAATTAAAGTGAATCTAAAGGCATAAGGTTTTCATTTTAATGCATTCTATGCATTAAGGTAAAAAAAAACCCTACCAGTATCTGCACCCCCCAACCCCCCCTATATATTTACCTGGCTCCTATTTCGATGCAACGCTCTGACCAAGAGCAGCATTGCTGCTCTCTCTCTCTTCTCACTGGCAAAGAGGCAGCAACGCTATCCATTAGCTCCTGCTGCTGTCAATCAAATCCTGTAAGGCAGGAGCGGAGGATGGGGCAGAGCCACACTGTGTGTGTCTATGGACGCACAGAGCCCAGATTAGTAGCGAGCCTGCACACCTGCCCCCACTTGCTATAGGGGCAGACACAGAAGAGCAGGAGCCCAGAATACCAGCGGGGGAGTCCAAAAGAGGAGGTTTGGGGCCACTCCATGCAAAACCATTGTACAATGCAGGTAAGTATAACATGTTTATTATTTTAAGAAACAAAGCTGAGCATTTACAGTTATTTTAAAATTAATGCAAGCAATTTAAATACCTGAATTTGACCCGTGTTCAGCTTCTTGCAACTCCTGTACAGCAGAGATCAGACTTGGAGAGAAGGGTGAAGCAGCACAAGGAGTCAGTTGTGCTGCAGTAATCATGTGCTAGCAAACGTGTTGACAGGAGGAGAGAACAGAGTGATGGAGAGGTGGGCTAATCAGTAGCTGCTACACTGTCACTATCACTACAGGCTGGATAAAGGAACAAGACCTGTACAAAAAAAAAAACAAACCAAGAACAAAGGGGAAAAAAAATTCTCCCATCCTGTAAGGGCAGTACTCGGCAGACAGAAATAAAAGTGCTTTGGTAGGTAAACATGTCCCTAATATATACGAGGGGTCTTTAAAAAAATACAGTTAAAAGGAAAAGCGGAAACTTCTTAAAGAATTTCAAAAACAGCATGACAACTCTTATACTAAACTGCAAGGTCAGCCGCCTTGCCAGACAGACTAGTCACATGACACTCTCAGCCACAACCAATTACTACTCCTCCCACCCTCACTATTTCCAGCGAAAATATAAAAGTGTGGAAACATTTTGAAGACCCCTCAGACTGTTTCATCTGTGCATTTAGCTGTGTGCGTGGAGTTCAGATTTAATGCCAAGATAAATGAATAAGATTGCACATTACTAAGAGTAATTAGTATGATTGTAAGTCTGTGTTGCAATTGGTGAACTTCATTAAAAAAAAAAATGTTGGTTTTAGGAGCCGAGGATACGACCGTTCATCATCAGACCTGCTCCATGCCCGCTTATGAAGCCTGTACTCGTGTTTGTGAACCCTAGGAGTGGAGGAAATCAGGTACAGATTCCTTCATTATACTGTCATGTTGGGGCGTGTGCCCATGGGCATCTGTGAACATATCTCTCCCAAATAACTTTTTTCCCAGAATAAAGATGGAGCAAAAGCATGGGGTACCATCTATTAGGAAGTGGCAAACTAAAATCTGTTTACAGGGTACATAGTTGCCACCTCTGTAATATGTGTGCAAAATATTTTCCATCGTACTTATTAAGAAAGTGATAAGCCAGCTGGCTGCCAAAGTAGAAAAACAGTAAACTGGTATTTGAAGGTTGAGTGCAGAACTGGAGACCTCTTATAGAGGAATGGCTGGCAAATGTTAGTGTATGCACCTTTCCCCATGTTCTCTGTCTTTAAAAGCACTGCAGGTGCAGAATAATATATGTACATCTGCCTTTAATCCAGTGAGCTCCCAAGATCCTGTGCATTCTGCCTCTGCCAAATTATAATCCCGAACATTGTTGTCAGACCTGCCCAGTGCTCACCTGTTGGACTACAGAACACCTCCCCCTCTTTGTTGGCATCCTCTGCGTCCCCTCAAACACAAGCATATGTGATAGCAGTAAACAAACAGCTGACAGCTTGAATGAGAGGGAATAGAGTGTAGAGCACGGGTGTCAAACTGGTGGCCCTCCAGCTGTTGCCAACCTGCAAGTCCCATGAGGCATTGCAAGATTGACAGTTACAGGTATGACTTCCAAAGGCAGAGGCATGATAGGACTTGTAGTTTCGCAACAGGTGGAGGGCCGCCAGTTTGACACCCCTGGTGTAAAGGATACAAACAAGGTTGGGTTGCAAAGATGAAAAGAGGCTTGTAGTTCTGTAGTCCAGTAGGGGTGAACCGGGCAGGGCTAACAACAGTGTTTGATCTTTTAGAGCTGTTGGCTCTCTATTTATATTCTAAGCCTTCCCGCTCTACCAACAAAAAAGGTTTGGTTTCAGCAGTTGGGTGTATCTTGCCATTCTGGTCACCAATAGAGTCTCTTAATAGGTAGAAGAAGCCAGGCTGTAAATCAATGTGGCAGCAACTATGGAAAACCAAGATACACAGTGGCTTAGTGGTTAGCACGTCTGCCTTGCAGTAAATGGGTCATGGGTTCGATTCCTGACCATGGCACCTCCTGCATGGAGTTTGCATGTTCTCCCTGTGCTTGCGTGGTTTCCTCCGGGTGCTCCGGTTTCCCTTCCACACTCAAAAGACATGCTGGTAGGTTAATTGACTCCTGTCTAAATTGTCCCTAGTATGTGTATGTATGAATGAGAGTTAGGGATCTTAGATTGTACTCCCCTTGAGGGTTAGGGACTGATGTGAATGTACAATATATATGTAAAGTGCTGTGTAAATTGACGGTGCTATATAAGTACCTGAAATAAATAAATATTCGTTTTGTGTAGCATTGGACTTTTTGGTTTGAAAGCCATTACCTAATAGCTGACGAGTTTGGATGACTATTGGTAGAATAAAACAGAAAACAAGTGGTTAAATCCATGTTTGGCCTTTGAGTAAAGATTTGATGGGCCAACACACTATTATTTTTTCTGTCACTTACACATACAGTATACAGTAGGTCTATACAACTTCATATGACAGTCTTTATTTTTTTTCATTCATACTTGATACTAAATGCAGGTTATAAGTTATGTGACTTTATTTTTGCTCACGCAGGGCATAAAGATCCTTCAGTCCTTTATGTGGTATCTGAATCCACGACAAGTGTTTGATCTTAGCCAAGGTGGCCCAAGAGAAGCGTAAGTGCTCAGATTAAGCGATCAGCAATTTATTTAGGTGAAATTTGTTCTTTAACATTTGGAGCCATCATGAAAAATTGTCAGATTGTGTGTCTAAAACATTGGAGGAAGCATTACTCATTCAAAATCTACTGCATAGTAGGACAATGTGAGTGTCCGTTTGTCTACAGTTCCCCCCCACCCAGCTCCAGTAGGTAGGTTCAGCGCAAAGATGGTACAATTTTCTTTCCTTCCACCATGGGTGGAAGGAAATAAAAATTGCTGGATCCCCCCATCAGTCAGCAGAACACAATGCTCAGTGCTGTGGGTATAGCTGCCAGTAATAATCGCATGTAAAAAATTCAACAGGCTGGTTGTACTGATCTTGATTGATGGATCAACTTCAGTGCAACCAGCCTGCCCATAGATCGATTGAATCTCTGCTCATCCCTGCTGAACTGGCCGAGATTCGTTCCATATGGCCGGCTTTAAAATTACATAGTTAGGTGGCAAAAAGACACAAGTCCATGGAGTTCATTTAATAGAAAAAAAAGAATAAATAAATATATTGAAAAACTCCGATATACAGAACCCTATATCCACAACTGATCCAGAGGAAAGCACAATAAAAAACCTTATAACTCATGGTCCAATTTTCTCCAACGGAAAAAAAATCCTTCCTGATCCCTTAAGGCAATCACATATTCCCTGGATCAACAATTACTTATAAATTTTAATATCCAGTTATATCCCATGCATTAAAGGAGAAGTGTGGGAATTAGTTGTTTTTTTAAATCATACTTACCTAGGTGAATGCATCATCGGTCCAGTGCTGCATCTGTCTCCCGCTGGCTCTAAGGGTGAGAACTCAGCGATCACATGAATACTGATCGCTCAGTTCTCACAGCCGCTCTGAGCAGAGAATGGTGACTGTCAGTCTGGACTGGCTGAGTGATGTCAGCCAACGGGTCACAGGAGTGCCGAACGAACTGCACTCCTGTGATCCACAGGAAAAGTACAGCCCAAAAGAATTTTGGCTGTACTTCTCCTTTAAGGAATGTATCTGACTTTTTTTTTTAAACTATCAATTGAGATGGCTAGACCTAGTTTCTGATGAAGCCTATTCCACATTTTCACAGCTTTTACGGTGAAGATGCCTTTCCGTTTGTAGAGGTTACCTCTTCTCCTCCAAATGCTAAGAGCGCCCCCTTGTCTTTGAAAAGGAATAACTTTGCACCAAGTTCATTATATGGACCATTTTTGTATTTAAACAAAGTGATCATGTCCCCCATTAAATGCCTCTTCTCAAGGGAGCATAAATTCATTTCAGTTAATGTTTCCTCAAAGTTGAGCTCCTCCATACCTCTTATTAGTTCCTCTATGCCTCCTATTAGTTACTTTGCCCTTCTTGCATTTACTTTTTCACTTTAAAAAAAAAATCTGAAAAATAAAACTAAAATGTAAATTAAATGGTTGAGTTTAGACCAACTTTAATGTGCTTTAATTGTGCTCTGATCAGTTAATCCTGTTTTCATCCTGTTGACAGGCTGGAGATGTATCGGAAGGTTCCATCGTTGCGTATCCTGGCTTGCGGGGGTGATGGCACTGTAAGTCCTATGTATCTCTGGTAGTGTATGTGTGGGTTGTAACTGTGTTATTCAGGACCCCATGTACTGGCCAGTCTTACAGTCACTCTAGATCAGCCATCCTCATCTTGGGTTGCTCAAGAGGTTGCTAGGGGTTCCTTGAGCTGTGGCTGATTGACCTCCCATTTGTTGTTGCTTGCATAGTTCTAGAGCCAACGCCACTTGAAACATTCACTGGCATGACACCAGGGATCTTTTAGTTCTCTGTAATGGTAGCCAACACACTTCAATAAATGATTTATTTTCCAATAGATCTCTCCTGATAGGAATAATCGATTTAATTGATTAATTGATATGCCGCACATAGAGAAATTACATTTGATCAATAGTTGGCAGATACGACTGTAAGTTATCCATCGTATCTTTGTTTCCACAAGGTTGTCTCATAACCTGATTGATCAGAATACAATCAAATGTATGATTGAATCACTTCAGTGCTGCTGATTGATGCAAACAATCATTTTCTGCTCTGGCCAGTCAATTCATTTTGGTCTAATCCAATTTAAACCGAGTCTAATTCGATCAGATGGGAGGTTAACTCTGTTTGATTGGTTTCTTCATTTATTGAACTGCACATCAAATAATAAAATCAAAGACTGTATGACCGCTATAAGGCTGTCATTCTGACCACCACTGTTAGTGGGGCAATCTTTCCATTGAGCACCAATGTAAATAGCATTTTTTCCTTCTGACTCCTGATGAATTGATTTAAGCAGGGGTTCCCATAGACCTGAAAATGATTTCAAGAGTTCCTCTAGGACAGCCTTTCTCAACCTTTTTACACAAGGAGCCATTGAACTAATTTTTTTAGGTCTCAGGGAACCCATGTTAAAAGAAAAGTTTGGGAATTAAAAAAACATTTATACTCACCTAGGTGGATGCAGCATCAATTCATGCTGCATTTCTCCCCAGACCGTTCTGTGACTGAGAACTGAGAGATCAAAGATCGCTGCTCACTCAGTTCTCAGTCTTCACTGAGCAGAGAGCCGATGACTGTCAGACACTGGCTCTCTGCTTCGCTCTTTCCATCGCTCACTGGAGTTGCGGGGCTGTGATGGGGGTGGGCACAGCTGGCTCAGGCTTTCAACGGCTTGCTGAAAGGGTGGGCCAGCCAGGCACCTGAGTGTTTCCCATAATTAAAGTCGGGATCTCTCCAGAGTCTTGACTGGCTCTGTGCCATCAGCCAACAATGGGCTTAGTCCGCTGTCAGTTGAAAACTGATCACAGTGCAGAACTAAGTGCAAGCCTGTAACCTACAGGAGATGTATTATTATACAAAATTTATATAGTGCCAATAATTTGTGAAGTGCTCTACAAAATGAAGGCAGACATTACAGTTACAATACAATTTGATACAAGAGGAAACAGAGGGCCCTGCTCATTAGAACTTAGAGGGAGGGTTAAGTGATACAAAAGGTAATAGCTGTGGGGATGAGCTGATGGAGAAAGCAAAAAATGCAGTGTATTAGTTAAAAGGATAGGTTTCTTTATAGAGAAGGGTTTTGTTTTCAGGGGTCATCTAAAGGTGGATAGATTAGGAGATAGTTGGACAGATTGGGGTAGGGAGTTCCATAAGATGGGAGAAACTCAGGAGAAGTCTTGGAGGCGAGCATGGGAGGAGGTGACATGGAAACTCGAAAGCAGGAGGTCTTGGGAGGACCAAAGAGAGTGGTTTGATTGATATTTTGAGACCTGATTGGTGATGTAGCTGGGGGCAGAGTTGTGGATGGCTTTGTAAGTTGTTAGTACTTTGAATTTTATTCATTGGGTGAGTAAAAGCCAGTCTTGGGATTGGCAGAGAGGGGTACTAGACACTGAACGTTTGGTAAGGTGGATGAGTCTGGCAGCAGCATTCATGATGGACTAAAGGGGGTATAGCCTATGTAAAGGTAATCCAATGAGAAGGGATTTGCAGTAGTTGAGGCGGAAGATGACCAGGGAGAGAATTAGAAGCTTTGTAGTGTCATTGATTAAAAAGGGGATGAAGATGTTGCACAGGTTGAGGCGGCATGATTTGGAAAGGGATTGGATGTGGGCTTGAAAGGACAGTTCAGAATCCAGGGTTGCCCCTAGCACCCTGACATACGGGAACAGGTTGATAATTTGTGCCATTGATCTTTGCAGAGAAATCAGGGAAAGGGGCATGTGGGGGAGGAAACATTATGAGCTCAGTTTTGGATAGACTGAGTTTTGAGGAAGTGGTGTGACATCCAGTCTGAAATGTCTGTTAGTAAATCAGAGTTTTCTTCTTTAAGATTAGGCCATCATGGGGTCATTTTGAAAATGCCCCTTACATTGGCGGTGGGCAGTGGGAAGAAGGCCCCCCTTAGAGAGATGGTCAGAAAGCCACTTTTTGCAGTCATGCCGCTAATTCTGCCAAGTTGCGTTGGACCTGGAACTATGCAGGCACCTTCAGGTGGGGAGGTCAGTTAGCCACAACTCAAGGAACTCCAAGGCCACTTCTGAGGAAACCCTAGGGTTCCATGCACCTCTGGTCAAGAATGGCTGATCTAGAACAAACAGGTTGAGAAAGTAGGCTTTAGATGCATGCTTTGTTACTAATATATTTACAGATTTGATGAGCCAGAGAGAACAAAGCTCTTTAGTGGAAGATTCACTGCTTACACAGGACAAAAACTCCCTGTTGACTTCAGTATTATAATTACAGACTTTTTTCTGTGTTTCGCTTACTGCACATTTCCCATCACTATTCATATCTCTGTATGGATGGGAAATTGAAAGGGGTGATGACAAAAACAAGGAACTATAAAAAGGATCTTACTTAATTTTGATAGCACTTTGGTCTAAATAGAACTTTTTTTGTAGTTTCGATCTTTAAATATAAGCTTTTAAAGCAGCATTCCATCCATATATTTTTGTTTTCAGTGGATAAGGGATAGCAGAAATGTCCCCCTAAAGTAAGTTGAAAAATCCCGCCTTAGTGTCCCCATTGGAAGATACCCCCTCCACTACTTCTGTTCTGGTGACAGGTGTATAATTTTTGTTTTTTCATTAATTTTCTCTCCTAGTGACTGGTCACCAGGACAAATGCCAAGGATAGATTCCTCAAAAGGGATACAAACAGTGTGTTAAAAATTGTGATGGGGTTCTAACCCTTCCACATGGTATCCAAAGCTAGAAAAAACATTTGGCTGGATTTCTATTTATTATACAGGATTTATATAGCGCCAACAGTTTGCTCAGCGCTTTACAATATAAAGGGAGACAATACAACATCGATACAGTTCAATACAAGAGGGTTAGGAGGGCCCTGATCCTGGGAGCTTACAATCTTAACATTTCTACTGTAACTATTAGCAGCAAGGGCTAGCTGGCCCACTTAACCAAGGACCCAGAATAAATCTGTATTTGTTGTCTCTCTGCATGCCCGGGTTTAAAGGTCATTGGAAGTTAGTAGATGCCATGTGCTCGCCTCCCACCATTGACAGCTATGACATGCGATCAGGAGGAGTGGCCTCCACAGCATTTTATTTGTACAGTTTTCCATGTGTGCAACTGTCAAATATGTAATGTACTCCACAGATTGGAAGATGTTATGCTGAGGTTATGATAACTACTTTAGATGTAAGTAGTATTTATTATAAATATTTGCTGTTGCTAATGCAAGCATTTGGTCCTTAACATGCTTGTGTTCTCTATGTAATGTGCATCCTGGAGCTGACATATCCTAAGTATTGCCAACTAGCACATTTACATTGCAGGCACAATATACAGGAATTAATGCACTGCACAGGGATGGAATGATCAGTGGTGGCCCCTTTGTCATGCCTTTGTTATAGATCTGTATTTGTTTCTGTGTATAACCGATGACATATTTCTTTCATCAGGTGGGATGGATCCTTTCTGTACTAGATCAGCTTCATCTTTTCCCTTCTCCTCCTGTCGCTATACTGCCCCTAGGAACAGGAAATGACCTCGCCAGAACTCTAAACTGGGGTGGGGTAAGTGATACCGTGGTCACAGTGCTCTTGCCTGGGTGTAATAAAGACCCCGGATATGAATCTCTTGTGTACAGGGATGAACCAGAAGTCTGCTCTCTGTCGTGTGAATGATCCAGGAGACTGCTCTTTGCTCTATGAGGCTTTCTCAAAGGACTGTACATTGCTATATGTTAATGAGATGAGAGAATGTTTTTAAAGTATATTAAAGAACTAGGACTTAATTTTGCTGTATGTCAGTAGGCTAAGGCTAGCCATACACATATAGATTTCTCCATCTAACCCAAACAGTGTGAATGGAGGAATCTCCCTTGCTGGCTATTGTATTCTAACAACTAGCACCCGCAGCTGCTGAATACCAACACAGTGATCGCATGTGATTGGGTGAAGTCTATGTTCGATTTTCTACCTGGCCTCTTTGAATTTTCAGGGCAGCACAGTGGCTAAATGGTTAGCACACCCGCCTGGCAGTACTAGGGTTATTGGTTCAAATCCCAACCATGACACCACCTGCCTTGAGTTTGCATGTTCTCCCTGTGTCTACGTGGGTTTCCTACAGGTACTCTGGTTTCCTCCCACACTCCAAAGACATTCTGGCAGGTTAATTGGATCCTGTCTAAATTGGCCCTAGTATGTGTATGTATGAATGTGAGTTAGGGACCTTAGATTGTACACCCCTTGAGGGTTAGGGACTGATGTGAATGTACAATATATATGTAAAGCGCTGCTTAATTGACGGCGCTATAGAAGTACCTGAAATAATAAATAAAATAATTTTGTTTTTCTGGGAGGTGCTGATATGGAAACCCATGGGTAGAATATCAGCCATCACAGCAGAAGTCTCCTGAAATTCAAGCCATGCTCTCTTCTGTATGTGAATAAGTTAAATTGATTCTAAAAGTCAAACTTTTTTTTACCTTAATGCATTCTGTGCAAAAAACATTTTATCACTTGCTGTGCCCTCCCCCCTCCCAAAATACTTTCCTGAGTCCTGTATTGATCCAGCGCTGTGCCTGACTGCTGGTCTTCTTCGCTTTCATAAATTTGGCTGAGATCAGGGGGTGTATTCTGGCTAATACCATTGCACAGAGCAAATGAGGATAACATGATTATTATTTTTATTACAAAATTGCTGTTGAGGCTAGATTCATATCTGTGCGGGTTCTTGCCGCTGAGGGACCACACCAGTTCCTGCAGCCGCAACTACCCACACAGAAAGACATGCTGCTACTCAGGAGATGAGTGCGGGTGCCATTAATCCTATTGGCCCCCGCACATACTGGAAATCACAGCGGGACTTCTCGCACTGGGAATTGTACTGCGCTTGCGGTTTCCTTGTGGGCTGTGGTTTAAGAAATGGACCAGAGACCTTTTCCAATGCCACAGCAAATGAATGGGCTGCCATGCCTGCGCAAAATGCGGCTTGCAGAGCCACGCACGTGTGAACCTAGGCTAAAAACCGCTTTAAGAGACTGCTTTCACCTGTAGGTGAATAAGCGAGGAGACCTCTTTCTACTGTATGTGAACACGCTAAGAGACTGCTTTATTCTCTATGTGAACATGCTAAGAGATTGCTGTCTGATTTCTGCTCTATTTAAACGAATTGACAGAGAGTGTTCTTTGCTCTGTGTGACTGAACTAGAGACTGTTCTTTGCTGTCCGTGACTGAGCTGGGAGACTGTTCTCTGGGATTCTCTAGGGCGCCATTTAGTGCAATCTATGGGCTGTATATTCCTTCTGCAGCAGCTGAAAGCACGCTTCTCCTCCCCTCCGTCCCTCTGGCATTCAGCTGTTGCAGGAGGAAAATACACCCCATCGGTTTTCACCAAATGCTGCCCCCACCACCCCTCCTCTTTAGGTTTCCCCTTCCTTCTGCTGCCCGGCCTCTTCCTTTGGACGGGAAGCTGCTCAGCACAGAGCACTTCCTATTCATTCTCCGTCCAGGGCAGTTGAAGCTGCAGAGAAAGGGACTGGGGAAATCTCTGTCCTCACTCCATTTCTCTGTCCTAAAAGTTTGATATCAGCAGTCTATTTAGACCCCTGATACTTCACCAAAACGCTTGCCATAGTGTAGTATATAAATATAGCGTGATTTATTAAAAAACACAAAGTGCACTCACATTTAAAAGTGACACCACAGTAAAAAACCTTGTTATAATGTATTTTCAATGTGTTCAGGAATTTCCAAGATGGCGGCTCAGAAACTTCCTGTTTAGCAGCTTGACTTCTTTAGCCCACTCTACGCATTACATCACATCACGTGACTTCCTCAGGAGTTCATTTGTAAAAAGTAAAATAATTAAAATTATTATATTTAAAAAAAAAATTTTTTGTAAAAAATAATAGAAACTGACTGACACCGTCTTCTGCCCTGCTGACACAAACCGCTGCCCTACTGACACCATCCTCTTCGGAGGGGAAGCTATGTTCTGGATGAAAGAATGGGCAGCTTTGTCACTGGCTTAACCATAACCTGCAATGGAAGGACCAATCCTTAAAATGTCATCAGGTGTTCTTCCCCCTGACATACATCTCCCAGCTCATTGGCTCAGAAGTCAATCACAGCCAGGCAACTACCATTAACCCTAGGTTCACATCTGTGTGGGTGGTGCCGCTGCGGATCCACACGAAAATCCGTGCAGCCGCACAGAGAATTGTGGACCCGCGGGTGGGTGCCATTACTTCTAATGGCACGCCGCCCGCACTGGAAAACGCAACCGTACTGGGAACCGAGGTTCCCGTGTGAGCTGCGTTTTCCAAAGAAGTGCAGGGACTTCTTCCCTGCATGGCATGGGAGGAGTCCATTCAAATGAGAGGGGAGTCTGCAATGGCATCATCCGCATTTCTATTAGTAAAGGTTTCTTTTGTGTACACATTTACTATGATTCAGTGCTGTATACAATACAGTCTGATTCAAACTCTTTGCTATGGCCACTATATGTGCTTTATGTACAAATGAGGTGGGATTTGCTGAATATTCAGCCTGTGTTATTTTACTTCTTAGGGTTATACTGATGAGCCACTTTCTAAGATCCTAAGCCACATAGAGGAGGGAACTGTAGTCCAGCTGGACCGGTGGAACCTGGAAGTGGAGAGAAACCATGAGGCCAGTGATGAGGATTGGGGAGAAGGAGCAACCGCTAAAGTGAGTACACAGATCATTTCAGAAAAATAAAATGGAAGGGAGAATATAGTTGGGTGGACAAACGTAAAGTGAAAGTAAATTGTTTTCAGTTTTGGGTCTCCAGGAGCTTTTTTGCTGTAATATGTAAGCATGCACAACATCTTTGCACATTGTGGCCCACTTACCTAGCAAAGCAATCCCTTCCAGCACTGAGATGTTTGTGCTTGCTTCCATGGCTGACACTTCCGTTTTTACTTAGTCTTCATCTGGGTTTGGTGTCTTTATTGGTAGCTCCTTATTTCCCCAGATTACGTAACTTCCGCACATCCACACTGGAGTTATCTCATCCCAGAACAGAATTGTGCCAAGACCGAACTGAGCTGTGCATGCGTGGCTCAGTGTATACAAGCAGAAAAATGTGTTGTCAGGCAGGTTAAAGCATCTATAACAAAAGAGACATACAGTCTCATATAAAATGCACGAAACAAAAAACGAGAAGCGCACCAACCTTGCGCATTACCTCAGTAACCAAAAATTTATTGATAAAGGAATGGTACTCACAAACAGCGAATAAAAACAGGCATGTAAGTCCTCTGGGGGCTCTTCTTTTTTCCTCATGCTTCAGACCACCTGCTGCTGATTGCAGTTGCTTTACTGAGTGTCTACCTCCATGATGGGATTTGCGCTGGCTCCCCGTCTCTGAAGTCCCCCAGAGGACTTGCATGCCTGTTTTTATTCGCTGTTTGTAAGTACCATTCCTTTATCAATACATTTTTGGTTACTGAGGTAATGCGCAAGGTTGGTGCGCTTCTTGTTTTTTGTTTCACTTTGCAGTATTGGTCGGGCTTCCCCAGCCTTGTTTGGAGCTGCACAACCTTTTATACACTGGTGGTCGTTCTTCTGATTTTGGTTCCATCCACTTTCCACTAGCCTGGGTCCTGGAGCGCAGGAGAAATCGCATTTGGTCTATATAAAATGCATGTCACCACTTTTCTACACTATTTCTGTTTTAATTTCATTTATGGGCATTTCTCATTTTTAGGTCTTCATTTGGCACCTATCCCTGCCAGATGAGAAGCTTGCGTAGATCTTAGTGGTAGTTAATAAAGCTGGACAGACACATTACAATCTGATTATACAATCTCTGTACTATCTCCTTTAAATTTACCTAGCTATGTGACATAACTAAACAGCCCATTGTATTCCCATCCATTCAGTCAGGTCCTTGTACTACAAAGTTGTTAGTAAATTTAAAGTTTAACTCCAGACAAACCGCTTAATACGCAGAAATACATATATGAGAGCCAAAGGACTTGTATTTTTTTCCATCCAGTTGTGAGATTTACGCAAGCTCTGCCCTACAGCACAGCCCTGGGGACTTAATCTTTCTCTGCTGTAGTTTAATTAACATGTCTGCAGCCTGTTTCTGTACTGTGAATGGAAAAGCAGAACACTGATGAGCTCATCTCTCTGTTAGTCTGCTCTGTCCTGCTATCAGCATGCTCCATGCAATACAGTGCACATGACTCGGTCCTTATGCTGCTTCTTTCTCCCCACCTCTGATCTCTGCTGTACAGACTATACAGTAGATTACAAAAGGCTGATACCAAGTCAAATTCTGGTGCTTACTTTGGGGGCGTCCCATTCCAGGTATGAGAGGCCATGTGATATACAGCATTCCTTGATATCACAGACTAGTGACCTTCAGAAAACTGAGAACAGGTGGACCAGTTGTTTCATATGTACCGTTTTTAATCTTCTTGTCTTCCTACAGCTGCCTCTGGATGTGTTCAATAATTATTTCAGCCTGGGATTTGATGCTCGAGTCACACTGGAATTCCACGAGTCCCGAGGTATGGTATTTCTGTCTATGTTTGGGGAATGCAGTGATGAGTGGTAGACTTGGTTGTAACAAGTGTTATGGGACTTGTATTTACTACTCAGATTGCTGCTAAAATAGAGGATGTGTAGGGTTGATTAAAGGAGAAAAAAACTATATTGCAGATATATTCCTATGTAAGGACCATAGCATCTGTGATTATATGTTTACATTCTTACAACTGTGCACAAGTCACTTTGCATTAATATGGATTATCCTGTTGTTGGAATCCAGCAATAACTTGAGTTGTCTGTCTACACGCAGTATCGCTCCCTCTAGGGTTCAGTAAACCTCATGTGTGGTTCATATTGTGCAGTACTCAAACAACCGAGTGGTCTGTCACTTGACACAAACCTGAACTTTGCAAAAGGTTCATTTTATTATGAACTCTATCATCAGCCAGTACTTAGCTTTTCTGTGCTTCCCTGCCACCCAGATCTGTCACCTGAGGTCTTGTAAGTCAAAACTTAAGTTGGGAAGACATAGATCGTAGTTGAGCCGGTTCAGCGGGGACTAGCCAATCTTCAATCGATGTGTGGCCATTGGGGCTGAACAGAAGACAATCTACCAATTGACTTCTGTTCAGCTGCCCTGTTGGTATATTCTCACTCGATTAGCACTGCCAGCTATAGCCTGCAGCACTGATTTGTGTATTCTGATGGCATGGGAGTCCTCCCTTTGTCAGAATGCAATTACACAGTGGGGAGGATTCCCGCATCCATATCAAATGGAAATCATGTGAAACTGATCCCTGTATGGCTAGCTTTACTTGGGGGACACATCCCCATGTGGCAGCACTCAAGACTGCAGACTGGTCAGTTTAAGACATTGAAATACAGTGCTTTGAAAAAGTATTCATACGCCTTGAAATTTTCCACATTTTGTCATGTCACAACCAAAAACGTAAATGTATTTTATTGGGATTTTATGTGATAGACCAAAACAAAGTGGCACATAATTGTGAAGTGGAAGGAAAATTATAAATGGTTTTCAGAAGTTTTTACAAATAAATGTGTGAAAAGTGTGGCGGCATTTGTATTCAGCTCCCCGGAGTCAATACTTTGTAGGACCACCTTTCGCTGCAATTACAGCTGCAAGTCTTTCTGGGGATGTCTCTACCAGCTTTGCATATCTAGAGAGGGACATTTCTGCCGACTGGGCCATTCTAGCACATGAATATGCTTTGATCTAAACCATTCCATTGTAGCTCTGGCTGGATGTTTAGGGTCATTGTCCTGCTGGAAGGTGAACCTCCACCCCAGTCTCAAGTCTTTGCATACTCTAACAGGTTTTCTTCTAAGATTGCCCTGTATTTGGATCCATCCATCTTCCCATCAACTCTGACCAACTTCCCTGCCCCTGCTGAAGAAAAGCATCTCCACAACATGATGCTGCCACCACCATGTTTCACAGTGGGGATGGTGTGTTCAGGGTGAAAAACATTCAATTTTGGTCTCAACTGACCGAAGCACCACATGTTTGCTGTGTCCCCCACATGGCTTCTCGCAAACTCCAACCCGGACTTCTTACTATTTTCTTTCATTAATAGCTTTCTACTTGCCATGCTTCTGTTAATGCCAGATTTGTGGCGTGCACGACTAATAGTTGTCCTGTGGACAGATTCTCCCACCTGAGCTGTGGATCTCTGCAGCTCCTCCAGAGTTACCATGGGCCTCTTGGCTGCTCCTCTGATTAAGGCTCTCTTTGCCCGGCCTGTCAGTTTAGGTGGACGGCCATGTCTTGGTAGGTATGCAGTCATATTTCCATTTTCGGATGATGGATTGAACAGTGCTCCATGAGATGTTCAAAGTTTGGGATATTTTTTTTATAACCAAACCCTGCTTTAAACTTCTCCACAACTTTATCCCTGACCTGTCTGGTGTGTTCCTTGGCCTTCATGATACTGTTTGTTCACTAATGTACTTTAACAAACCTCTGAGGGCTTTACAGAACAGCTGTATATATACTGAGATTAAATTACACACAGATGGACTCTATTTACTAATTAGGTGACTTCTGAAGGCAATTGGTTCCACTAGATTTTAGTTAGGGGTATCAGAGTAAAAGACGGGGGGTGAAAACAAATGCACACTACACTGTTCAGATATTTGTTTGCAAAAAATGTTGTAAATGATATAATTTTCCTTCCACTTTCACAATTATGTGCCACTTTGTGTTGGTCTATCACATAGAATCCAAGTAAAATATATTTACATTTTTGATTGTAACGTGACACAATGTGTAAAATTTCAAGGGGTATGAATACTTTTTCAATGCACTGTGTATATTTCTGCAGTTGTTGAGCAGAAATGATAAAATGCTTCTAAAGGTATATTTCATGGACCATAAGGGAGCAAATGAGAGAAGATTCTTGTTGTAGTTTACATACACTTTAATTGTCATCTGGTAATCCTGGCCGTATCACACTTCCTGTCTCAGAGTGCCAGCGCCTACTTGCTGTACTGTATCTGAAGAGGTGCGGAGAGTCACTTTAGGACAGGATCACTGAACACCTTCTCTTCTCTTCTTCTCTATAACACAGGGGAGAGGTGTTATGTAGAACTGGGAACAATGCTGACTGATAACAGCAGAGAGAACAAGTTGTTACCAGTGCACTAGATTTCTGGCAGGATCAACAAAAAACCTTTGCTTTTTTAGAACAAAACCCTTTCAATTGTACATTCATCAGACAAAAAAGGAGCAAAACAGAAGTTCACCATTAGGGTTTACATACACGTTTAGGTGTCGTTAGTTTTTTGACCAGATCTTTTATGTGATTAGTCTTTTCTTATTTATCTTAGAGGCAAACCCAGAAAAGTTCAACAGTCGTTTTCGCAATAAGATGTTCTATGCTGGGGTGAGTAGATCTAGGTGTGCTGATCATCACTCTCATGTCTTCCCTTCGTTCTTCCTACTCATCCCCTCTCTCCATGCAGACTGCGTTCTCCGACTTCCTAACTGGCAGCTCCAGAGATTTGGCCAAACACATCAGAGTGGTGGTAAGTAGATACATTCACATTCATTCTCTATTGCTGTCAGGGGCGGACTGACCGTTTGGAAACTCGGGCACTGCCCGAGGGCCCGAGGTCAGTAGGGGCCCCATGAGATGCCCCTGGTACCTTTTTCATAGGCTTTTTTGAGTTTGGGCAAGGACACAGGGGCCCCATGATCCCCTATTGCCCAGGGCCCCCATGAGTTGTCAGTCCGCCCCTGATTGCTGTGTATTATACCACTAAGGACAGTGACTCTGTTTTCCCATCTTATGCAAAAGTGCCAAGAATCTTTAACCACTTTACATCCACCCTATAGTAGTTTTACTTCCACCACATGGGGGCACACGCACTTTGCTTCACAGCCACGGCAGGAATTATACCCTCTGTCACTTTCCCCAGGCTCATGCGCCTACCAAGCACAACCCATTGAAGTGAATGGAACTGCTCTGCAAGCTGCCCGCAACTGTATGCAATGGACATGGTTGTGGCATGCTAGTGCAGGGCTCAAGGGGCTAAAGCAAGTGGTGAGGAGACAACACAATGCCTCCTCACTGCCTGTCAAATGTGCTTTGAAGAGCAATCCAAATGTGGATCACTCTTCAGACACCAAAGCAAGTGTGAATAACTCTTTATATTATTATTATTATACAGGATTTATATAGCGCCAACAGTTTGCTCAGCACTTTACAATATAACTGGAGACAATACAGCAACAATACAGTTCAATACAAGAGGGATAGGAGGGCCCTGATCCTCGGAGCTTACAATCTAGGTGTTCCTTTTTTATCCTTACAAAACGCTGCCACAGAATTCTATCTCTTGATGGGAATGCGTTCCTGGACATATAGGTGTTTATTGTCTAAAACTGTAGAGTTCAAAATCTGGTGCAACTCTGCAAAGAAACCAATCAGCTTCCAGGTTTTATTGACAAAACGCAATTGAACAAGCTGAACTCAGAAGCTGATTGGCTACTATGCACAGCTGTACCAGATTTTGTATGCACCAGTTTTAGTAAATCTACCCCATAGATAATTATTCAACAGGGCTGCACACTGATAGAAATCCAATACTTGATTAGTGAATTGCTGCATATCGAAGTATTCTGTTTGACAAGTTTAAAACTGTATTATTATTATTTTTTTAAATATATATAGTGTGACGGCCAGGACCTGACTGCTAAAATTCAGGAGCTCAAGTTACAATGCTTAGTGTTTCTAAACATCCCTCGGTAAGTAAGGGAAAGCTCTTTAAGAGACACTAAACTGGTCCTCTCTTAAACTGGTTCATACCTCTTTCTTCAGACTATCAAAATCACCATCATTAGTCCTATTAGCTAACAATATTACTTAAAAAAATGTGTGTATACAGTATGTATGTACCGAATATGCGTGCGTGTGTGTGTCTGTGTGTGTGTGTATATATATATAATTTATTTATATACACACACTATATTGCCAAAAGTATTCAGGTGTCCCAATCACCTCCATAGCCACAGGTATATAAAATCAAGCACCTAGGCATGCAGACTGCTTCTATAAACATTTGTGAAAGAATGGGTCGCTCTCAGGAGCTCAGTGAATTCAAGCGTGGTACCGTGATAGGTTACCACAAAGTGGTAGGCCACGTAATATGACAGAGCGGGATCATTGCATGCTGACTCAAAGTGCGCAGAAGTCACCAACTGTCTGCAGAGTCAATAGCTAAAGATCTTCAAACTTCATGTTGCCTTCAGATTAGCACAACAGTGTGTAGAGAGCTTCATGGAATGGGTTTCCATGGCCGATCAGCTGCATCCAAGCCTTACATCACCAAGTGCAATGTAAACCGTCGGATACAGTGGTGTAAAGCACACCGCCACTGGACTCTAGAGCAGTGGAGACATGTTCTCTGGAGTGACCAATCACACTTCTCTGTCTGGCAATCCAATAGATGTGTCTGGGTTTGGTGGTTGCCAGGAGAACGGTACTTTCATGACTGCATTGTGCCAAGTGTACAGTTTGATGGAAGGGAGATTATGGTGTGGGGTTATTTTTCAGGGTTAGGCTTGGCCCCTTAGTTCCAGTGAAGAGAACTCTAAAGGCTTCAGCATACCAAGACATTTTGGACAATTTCATTCTTCCAACTTTCTAGGAACAGTTTGGGGATGGCCCCTTCCTGTCCCAACATGACTGCACACAGAGCACAAAGCAAGGTCCATAAAGACATGGATGAGCAGGTTTGGGGTGGAGGAACTTGAATTGCCTGCAGAGTCCTGACCTCAACCCGATAGAACACCTTTGGATTGAATTAAAGCGGAGACTGCGAGCCAGGCCTTCTCGTTCGACATCAGTGCCTGACCTCACAAATGCTCCTTCTGGAAGAATGGTCAAACATTCCCATAGACACCCTCCTAAACCTTGTGGACGGCCTTCCCAGAAGAGTTGAAGCTGTTATAGCTGCAAAGGGCGGGGCCAACTCAATATTAAGCCTTACTGGACTAAGACTGGGATGCCATTAAAGTTCATGTGCGTGTAAAAGCAGGGCCGACCAATACTTTTGGCAAGTGTGTGTGTGTTTGTGTGTGTACTGCTCCAAAAAATTAGTGGAACACTTTTTAATCAGAGTATAACATCAAGTCAATTAAACTCCTGGGATATTGATCTGATCACTTAGCAGAGGAGGTTGTTACTCATTTTCAGCTGCTTTTGTGTTAATGAAATTAACAACAGATGTACTAGATGGGCAACAATGAGATGATCCCCAAAACAGGAATGAGGCCACTGACATTTTTTTCCCTACTCATCTGTTCTGACTGTTTTTCACTAGTTTTGCATTTGGCTAGGATCAGTGTCACTACTGGTAGCATGAGGCAATACCTGGACCCTACAGAGGTTGCATAGGCAGTCCAACTTCTCCATGATGGGCCATCAATACATGCCATTGCCAGAAGGTTTGCTGTGTCTCCCAGCACAGTCTCAAGAGCATGAAGGAGATTCCAGGAGACAGGCAGTTACTCTAGGAGAGCTGGACAGGGCTGTAGAAGGTCCTTAACCCATCAGCTGGACCGGTATCTGCTCCTTTGTGCAAGGAGGAACAGGATGAGCCCTGCCAGAGCCCTACAAAATGACCTCCAGCAGCCCACTGGTGTAAATGTCTTTGACCAGACAATCAGAAACAGACTTCATGAGGGTGTGGCCTGAGGGCCCGACGTCTTCTAGTGGGCCCTATGCTCACTGCCCGGCACCATAGAGCTTGATTGGCATTTGCAATTGAACACCAGAATTGGCAGGTCCGCCACTGGCATCTTGTGCTTTTCACAGATGAGAGCAGGTTCACCCTGGGCACATGTGACAGACATGAAAGGGTCTGGAGAAGCCATGGAGAACATTATGCTGCCTCTAACATCGTTCAGCATGACCATTTTGGTGGTGGGTCAGGGATGGTCTGAGGAGACATATCCATGGAGAGACACACAGACCTCTACAGGCTAGTCAATGGCACCCTGACTGCCATTAGGTATCGGGATAGAATATTTGGACCCATTGTCAGACCCTAGGCTGGTGCAGTGGGTCCTGGGTTCCTCCTGGTGCATGATGTGGGCCTCATTGGATGAGAGTATGCAGGCAGTTCCTGGAGGATGAAGGAAATGATACCATTGAAGGACCCCCACGCTCGGCTGATCTAAATCAAATGGGACACCTGGAATATCATGTTTCGGTCCATCCGACACTGCCAGGTTTTTCACTTTGATTTTCCCGGGTGTCTTCAGCCCTCTGTAGGTTGATCATTTTCATTTGCATAAAACAATGGGGCATCCTTACATTCTTAACACATTACCCAGTCCATATCAGTATAGATATCCAGCAGGAGATTTTGCCCCATTGAGATCTGATGTGTTCCTTTAATTGTTTTGAGCAGTGTGTATATGTATGTACACACACTTTTTATTATATATGTTTTGGTGTGGCACTTTTATTTTCCATTTACCTTCCTTCTATCAAATCAAAGTTCCCTTTGAGGCCCTTTCTTGCTAAGAGTGCTGCCTAACCAGAGTCACTGAACTCAAAGATATGGACTTATCTTCACACTGAGGAATGTAACCAGTTTGGACACAGCCCTCTTCAATGTGATTTCTATGGAGAGCTGAAGGCTTT